CTTTCTCCCAATAAATAAGGTTGCAACCTGATATCTTGTACTGCAGAGGTTCTTACTCCGTTGTGTGTTCTCTGTTTTCAAACTGAGTATAACATCACTTCGCTCAAAACCATCTGGAGGGGAATGAGTTAAATGATATCAAACTCAGTTCGAAAACAGAAAACACACAACGGAGTAAGAACCTCTGCAGTACAAGATATCAGGTTGCAACCTTATTTATTGGGAGAAAGTTTCCCACCAGTACCTGTAAAATAAGGACATTTCATTTACATCAGTTATTATTTCTAGCTATACGTGTGAACCAGTGATTTTTTGGGAGGGAGCAGTAAAAAAATGCTGGTGGTATGGTAGCATACTTTCTTACCGACAGGGCAGGTGGTATGATAGCGTACCTTCTTACCGACCGAGCCCTCGGCACTGGCGGCAACCATTTTACATGAAGAGAGTGTCCGCTGGCCACCGCGGCAGCAATGATGGCTTCATAACGTCACGCTGGCTGTTTTGTCCGCCAAAAGCATTCAGTTGGATCCCCCTGTTCTTGATGAACACTAAATCTGCGTAGTTCTTTTCCTCCACATATTCAGTATGTCACATATATGTACAAATATTTACAATTTCATAACGAGTCTCATTAGTATGTGTAAGTGGTTGCTATGTGTGTTCCTATTTTAGGCGAAAGAGACGAATCGCTTGGGTTCATGATATAAACTTGTCAAGAGAGGAACTTGGGGAGTTTTATATACTGATACCCCAACTCCCGAAGGACGAAAAACGGTTCTACATATATTTCAGGATGAATATTGACAGGTTTGATGAAATCCTGAGAGCCATCAGGCAAGATATCACCAAACAATATACCAATTGGCGGAGGCCTATTCTTGCCATGAAGTGGAGGATTTTTTGAGACCCATAGAACTGAAAGAAGGAAATATAAAACACATTGTATCAGCAGCATGTTTGCTTCATAATTTTCTACGTCTCAAAAACTGTGATGAAATGTACAGGGAATAACTACTACGAGTGGAGCCATTAGAAGTAGAAATGTTC